AAATCTTAGGGAGAAATTTAATACATAAGCCCCTTTGGACTTAAACATCGCAGACACTGGGAACAACCAAAAAGGTTTTTATAGGTAAATTAATAAAAACTTCAATAATACATTATGTAATTCGTATGTAATAATGGCATTTCTTTACATATAAAACATCATATGCCAAAACCTAACAACCATAAACGGACAAACTGCAAAAAAAAATACGAGCAATTTGAAATTCTAAGGATTTCCTAAAACAAACCCTTTGAAGACTGAAAAGAAACTGGACGAAGGACCTCTTCATCTAGCATCAAGTAAAATCAAGACAGGAAGAGATGCCACTCGGTACTACTCTTCCTCAAGCCTATCAATCCCATAATGTTCGATAACAATTTGACAGAAAATTGTAGATATTTCTGACACTTGTGAGTGAATAATAAAATTCAAAATAATAATTTATTGGGATTATATAAATGTCTAATGACATAATATCTACAATATGAACATAAAACCTAGTAAGTTATAAGATCAAGAGAACAAGATAAATTCTGATAGGATGTTCTGGTAAAACAAAAGTTTTACGGGCACAATAAATCAATTTTAAGTTTCGGCCTATTGGGATTTTAGCTCTCATGTACTCCAACTCGGAACAGTAAGATTTATCATGTGGGTCAGCAGAGACAACCTTAAATCCCAAGAGAATCGGCAATGCGACAGTTCGATCTCTCCGAGATCCAGCTTTTTCAGTCTTTTCAAGTCATCATATTCTTTGTTCGCATTTAATGTAAATATGAATAAAAAACATTCTAAGATATATATTTGATAGGAATCTTTTCAGGGTTAAAAATAATTTGAAGAGACTTCCGAAAAATACTTTTATTGGACAGTAACAAGATCAAACACAAACGAGAACGAGGCTTTGACGTAATCAAGAAGAAAGCGGAGAAGGACAAATGTGCCTCTCTCTCTCATGTGTCCTATTACCCATAACTTACCCTAGCTACTGCTATAACACGTGGGCCGTTTATTTATTACCTTTGAGATGAAAAATACTTCCAAGAAAGAAATTTATTTTAGATAGTATTACTTCCATCTAGGAAAACTCAGAATATATTTTACTTCACTAATAAAATATATTTCTAAAACATGCTAAAAAAGAAAATAAATTTTGATGGAACGTGTTATGATGTTACGACGCTGAGATGAAAAGTGGTGAGTTCAATTTTCAAAATTAAAGAATAAAATAATTGAATTCAAGGGTCAACTTTAACTTCGTTCAAGAAAAAAAAACCTTATATTAATTCTCGAATGAAAATTATTTAAAACAGAAGTTGGAAAACTAATACAAATAAAACGAAACCTTGAAAGCCTTATGAACGGAATTTATAGGAGTGTCACCAAAGAGGAAATAAAAAGACAGAGTTTAATGAGAGCTTTTAATTTCACGTCCTTATGAAGGTGGATTAGATACGCGATCCCGTCTTTCTCCAGTCCTGAAATCCACTTGTTTCAAGGGTGGGCTTTCGGCTTGAAGCACTCACGTTAAAAAAAAAAAAAATCGGAAAACAATTTTTTCATAAAAAATTTGTTCCTAAAAGGATTATTGTTCCTGTAATTGTAATTATAGTAAACCGGGGTTACTTTAGGACTAATGGATGACAATTTTTTATATTCCAAATCATCTGGAGTACTGCAATAGCTATATTATAGAACTGCATTGTTATATTAAGACTACAGAAAAGTTATTTGAATACAAAAATGTTTTAGCCGGGCAGATAATTTCATAATCAAAATAAAATTTAGTACGTAGAAACCCACTAGTCCCAAAGGTACCCAGGTTTACGGTACTTAGCTTCAAAATTTTATCCGCTATTGCTGAAATATGATGGGATGAATCAGTTCAATCTGAGGCAAGAGAACATCAGATACATTGCTGTTTACAGTGCTGAAGGATGTAGAAGAGAGGGTATAAAAATATGATTTTTGGATTTTTAGTTGACATATCCTTGGTCTTCGACTACGTTTGGTGACCCTTACAATCTAACAATCTTTTGACACTTCTTGTGTAGTTGTAAGAGTTCGACAACCTACATCATACAGCAAGTATCTACATCGATATGATGTGGAGGAAAAGATTAAAAAGGACTTCCCACAGGGTCTGGACTCCTGTGTGTGACTGAGGATTGCAAAATCAGATAAAATATGGTCCACCATTCTAGTTGCTAAGTTGGTGCGTGATGTCATCGACTCCTAATTATTAAGATATGACCCTTAGCACAAGATTTAAATTTCTACTTTTCGATGTGGAATCGGAAAACGCTCCATATTAACGTGTTTGTTTCTCTTCAGGTCAACTTTAAATTATACTCATTAAAAATAAATAAATAATAGCGACTTGATTTATTTGTCCGAAAATTCTTTTAAAAATGTAATACCTGAATGTTGGATAAATATCATTGCTTTTCTTTTAGCTATGTAAAAAAAAAAAAGGAATAAAGTTTAGTTGGCTGTTACAGTATTGTTTGTTTTCCAATACTCCGAACACAATGTTTGATCACTCCAGCAATAAAAATACACAAGGGTCATATTTGCCTTCCTTTCCTCTGAAAATAGCAGCAGCGTACATGTAATAAATAAATAAGCCAAATAGAGAGAGACATATTCGATCTGCCGACGCTCTCACCGGGTTGGCTTAAATTGCCGGAAATTTCATTTCACCGAGAGGAAATTGCCACTTCTTTACCCACGCCTCTGACAACCGACATCTTTGCGTGATTTTCGAGTGTTAACATCATAGTCCGTACCAGGTATATGGGAAGGATATAACGAAGTGAAATAACATAAAATTTTGGGGGAGGAAAAAACCAAGTCATCCATGTTTCAAAAACAGTTTGTACTTTTTTTAAAAATAAGTATTATTGCTGTATAATAGAATATATAATTTAGGAGATCCCGTCTTCATGTCAGAGGCTTTAAAAGGTTGCCGAGAATAGTTTGATGTTTACGTAATTCCGTCTATTAGTATGTTTAACATTAATTTATTTTATTTTCGTAATATTACGCTTAAATGGATTAATAATTGCTTATGTACAAGTCAGAAATAATTAAACAATTACCTGCATTTTAATGAAGTATTAATTAAAGCTAAGTAGTTTAATAACGATTGTTCCTTTAATGTAATGATAAAACGCTTAAATGTAAAGCCGATACTTATGAAATCATGCGGGTATTCAACAAATATGTGGAGGTTTGACCATTTCACTAAGGAAGGCAGGGGATTGTTTAGCGCTGTGGCAAGTATCCACTTTAAATGGCGTAATGAATACATTAAGAATACATGAATATATGAATCGTTTATGGAAATACATTATACTAAGGGATACAATTTTCAGGGGGTCCTTCTGATGCATCGAATCCTTTCCTGACTGAATGGTGTCGTTAACATAAGTATGACGCTTCCTTTATCCCTTTTTTTGTAAACAAGTGTGACAAACGTGAATATTTTTCTTATCGAATTCGATAGACTAAATATGAATCCATCTCATAAATTAATACAATGCGGTATAACTTAAGTTTTCTGACAGTAATAACACGTGTCTCCTGAACAACAGTCAAACTTCGATTAATCGGGGCCAAGTCGTTCCGGTTAAGTGAATAATAAAATAGACGAATAATAAAAATACCATAAGACCTAAGCCTCTAAGTAGAAATTGGTTTTATTAAAATAGTATAAACATAAATTAAACACGGTTGAAACATTAAAAAAAAACGTCTGCCAAGTAAGGTCAGTATAGCTTTCTCACCGTTTTCTTATGCTAAAAATATCCATATTAAAAGGTGGAAACATTTTCTTATGAGAATAACATATTGGGAAGAAGCTGTTTTCGGAAATTCAGTAATCCCTCAACATAAACGGGCCTCATATCCACGAGTCATGTTTAGCAGCCAATACTAAAATGCGAAAAAGTTCAGCATTTGTAGATTGCATATTTGATAATTCATAATTTTTAAAAATTCCAGTACAAATGACGTATGTAAAAATTGAGTGTTTAACAGGAGAGCATACAAACTAATTATTTCTTTATGATTTATTAGTATAATTTTATATTTTATTGCCCTCTGCTATTTCTCATAGCACTAGACTACTTATATCAATTGATGGCTACATAATGTCAAAAATAGAATAAAGATTGAAAACTTTTACATACGGATTTAGTTATATATACTTAATAGGTATGTTTTCGCTCGTAAAATGGATGGAACAAAAATCCCTACGAAAAATTCAACTTGGTGATAAGCACGTTATATCGATTTGACTACAGACAGACAGACAGACAACGGACCAAATTTGATCCTTGATGTCTGAAACATGAAACATGGAAATTTTCGAATCTGAGTACATTTTTTTTTTAACCTGTAGCACGAATACAATGCTTTTCTGCCTTCGGTGCAATATATTTAGGTGAGGAAGTAATATAATTATTAACTCCAAAAGATTTAAAGTAGAAAAAGACGTGTATTTAAGTAATATATATTTTTCAACTAACGATAATAACGTAATTATTGTGCTTACTCTTTACATTTACATTTATAATTTACTCTTTTATGAGAGAGGAGTTGTTGCTGCATAATTACATTCTTTAAATTTTATTCCTGTTCCTTCACTTCCAATTAAACAATAATTCGAGTTTTCGAGCTCATAAATGCCATGATCATTCCCAAAATTTCTCAAATCCTAATAAAATATGATGCACATGTAAAGTATAATTTCATGGAAAAACATGTTACAGTTAATCGAAGTTTTAATCTATGCTATATTACACCTAAAACAACAATGTTTTGCTAAAATGAGTGTTAGAGTAAGAATGAGACGAAAACATCTAGATTATCTCTTAAGTCAGAATTTAAGTACTGAATTATTTTTATATTTCAAATGTAATCTTATGATTAATTTAAATTTGCTAAAGGAAATGAAATAGTTTAATTTGAAAAATAATGAAACTTTTATCTTTCAGTTATGGGGACTTTTTGGCCCGTACTTCTCCATCTGATATGGGCACTACAGGGCTCGACAGCTGGTAACATCGGTAAGTAGAAAAAACAAAAAATGTTTATGTTTATTGATTTAATATTACCATTTTTATTTAATAAGTATTTCATGTTAAACTTATAAAAAAATAATAAACAGCAACAGGAAAAGAAAAAGTAAAATAATAAAGGAAGAGAAATCGGTTGGGGTGTTGAGTAAAAAAAAACAAATTAATTTTTTTTTTTTATTTAACGCCTCTGCGGTTGGCTATTAATCCATTCGGCTCCTTAATCAATTAATAGCATTTAATAATAATAATAAGTTATTGATAAATATCATTTATTACAGTAAATAAATTGATAAATAGATTCATTTGGTTCACTACAATCAACCATCAATTCACTATTAAAATAATTAAGTATAATGCCGGCTTCAGAATCCCTCGAAATGGATCACGAAATGACGAATTGTGAATAGCAACTATTGAAAATAAATATGGAATATAATCTGAATTAAACATGTTTATATTATTCAGTGAATAATCTGGTTCTTTTTTTTTGGTTTTTTTATATATATTCAACATTATAAATTTTCTGGCCAAAATTAATCTTTGTTTTCTGAACACTGTTAAGAATAACAGCTTAGGAGTCAGTGTCCCACATTAAGTTATTTTTCTATTCTATGTTCTTAAAAAAAAATATCACTGTAAAATCTTGCTAAGGTCAACAAAAAGACATTTATTTTTCTTCCTTCTTTGTTATGCAGACTTTGTGACCTGAATTCTGCACGGAATGGCCTTACACCATCACTTGCTATTTACCAACTGGCTATATATTTTTTTTTCCTTCCTCCAAAATTCAAACAAATATATGTTCAAATAAATTAGAACATTATAATTATGATCATTCGGCTTTAATCTGTTATTTTATTTATATTGTACATTAATTTATTTTTTTTATTTATCTATATCTTTTTTTACTTTATTGAATATTTAATAGTTGACCGGTGCATTATTAAGGAAGGAGATGGTCCGGGGTGGCGGTCATAAATAGACTAGATAGTGGCGAAACTATTTAGTCTATTTATGACCGCCACACCGGACCATCTCCTTCCTTTTTTTCCTTTAGTTATTTTTATAGATATTTTCCTTTCTTATGTCACTATATTATGTGAATGAATACTATAGCCATAGTATCATTGCTCAGCAGTGTTGCAGACTTTATTAACACTCAATAAAATCATTGTAAAAGATTAAAATAATAATTAAACTACCTCTACTATACCATAACTCTACTATGACCGGCTTTAATAGAATACTCCATTCTCAGAAGAAGTTATTTTTCAACGTTTTACAGCTGCCTGACTTGTTCATGAAAATGGAAACGCCGCTGAGGCCATGATCCTCCTAAGGCTGATTGGTCCGATATCCTGCCATCCGGAATGTAACAGGACTAGGCTGATCGATTAGTCTGAGGACTGCGTTCCGGCCGACCATCCATCAAAGCCCCACTTCCTGAGGGACCACGAGTCCAATCTCTCTCAGGCGGTCGGCGAGGGACCTAATTCAGGGTCCAGATTGTATTAGCCAATCGACATTAACATTACCGATCCCAAGCAGATTAATGTTGAATTCAGTGCGAAAGGTCAAGGCCAAACCGTTAATATGAATCGATGGATCTTAATTATCAGCGTAACTGATTTATCTTGCATTAGGTCGATATGCTGCGTGATCCATCCAATATGAGGCTCTAGTGAAGATAATGAAAGATGATTACTTGCAAGTTGGTTTTTACTTGATCTCCCAACATCGGCTTTTTTCTTCTCGAAGCAACAGTTCCACCTCTTACAGAAAGTTGCATTGCGTTTGTTCTTCCTGCAGCACCCTAATAATTTCTTGGGAGCGACACCTGCGGGATCAACAGCAGTCCCCATTTCATCATCATGAATTTAGAGGCCTGTCTGTTAACCCCCTAGATAGGTTGTCTAAAGATATATGATAGAAATCATCAAACCGGTACTAACAGAGTAGGCTGATAGATTCATGAAGAAGCAACAAATGGTTGACAGCCCAATGAAAAATGCCTAATGTGAAGTCAAATCATCTCGAGCGAGTTGAACATTGCACTCGAAGAAGATAATAAAGGAGAATGAAGTTCCAAACAGAACGTAGAGAATAGAATTCAATCAAAATACTAACTCTATGTAGGTGGGAACTGGTAAAACGATGCAAAGGTGGTTTACGAAGAATCTTGATCTTCGTGATCAATAGCCTTCAAATCTCCACATGGGAATACATATACACGGGATAAGAAGTAAGAAGGAAAATAATCAATTATTTCTGTGAGTGAAAAACTTCTTAATATGACAGACTTTTGAGCAACGTAGTGCTAATCCCCACGCACAAAGGCAAAGAAAGGCCGAAGGTTGTCCTGAGTATGGCTGGCGAAGTCGTCTTCCTTAATCGAAGAATCAGATACAGTTGATTAAACACGAATTTGACAATTATATTCTATTATTATTATACATTATTATCAAACGTGCTGCTCTCCGGTAAGGAAGGAATTTCTTAACCATCTCCAAAATCTCATCTTTAACTTAATTTAAATGTTAACTATTTCTCCATTGTCTCAACATCCTCCCAATATATGTAAGAACAACGTTATTTGATATCTGTACTACCTATCGTTTTTTTACAGTTGTCATTTGTTTATCATCAATTAATTATTTTCATTTATTTATTTATATTTGCCTTAATCTTTATTTTATAGTTTTATTCATTTTGTAATTATTAATTTTATGACAAACAAATGAAACGGAGATGATCAACTACATTCTTAAAATACTAAGTGTACCAGCATATTTTCCTTCTCTCTGTGTCCGTTCCCATGAATTGTCATAAACATTTACAATAAAAAATAAAAAAAATTTACCACTATCACCCATGAAGAAAAGTACTGTTACAAGCCCTACGGTTGTGCAGGGGAGAGGATCAGGCCAGGATCACGCTCAATTGCCAGGTTTTCCCCCTTAATCAATTATTTAATGAAGATTAGCCACTTTGTAGAGGCTGAGCGTGCCCCAGGAGGGTCCCTCGGCCAATGAAACAGAATAAATATTTTTCTGCCATGAGACGGGATTCGAACCTGGGACCTTGGGCATTGGAAGCTTAGTACCCTACTACTGAACCACCCTGCTTCCCTTAAACATTTACAATAAATAATAATAATTAAAAACTACATATAAACATTTTGCAGCATTTATAGTCTTAATCTTATAGATCTTTTATTAGAGTAAATATTTCATAAAGTAAAGAGAAAAAAAAAATAGGATGAATAAGAAATAAAAAAATATTTTATTGTCAGTTTATCTAAAAAGCGTCTTTCGATTTTAATTTGTTGTACTTTTCCTAAAAATATTAATTACACTGCATCAAAGGTCATCAAAGGAGAATGGAGGTTCGTTTTATATCTCCTTTAGCATTTCCAGAAAAGGATTAGGAAGTTTTATAGAAAATATAAATCTTCCAACGCCTCCCTCTGGATTTCAGTTTACAGGTTTGTTTACGAGACAGAATAATAACATAAAAGCCTGGCTAAATTTAGATTAAATTCGACATTTACAATTGGTGTTCAGTATTTTTTCCTCGTTTGTTAAATTTTTTTTAAATTTTCACCCACCTTTATAGAATCTATGAACAAAGTTAGATGTTTGAATATTGAACGAAAATTAATTTGGTGTTGAATTAGTGTCGTGTGGGGATATCATGTTTTTCCCTCATCGGCTGTATAACGGTGATTTTAATTCAGAAATAAATTGTAAAGTCTCCACAAACAAAAAAAGAGAAAGATTGTCTGCAATTCAATTGATCATAAAATTATAATCAGTTTTCTCAGGATTATGGAAACAATTAAGTTACTTTTTGTATGTTTTCCAAACGAAAATAAGAGGAAAATACGACCATATATGGAACTCTCCTGCCATTTTTTTTCTCCTAATACACAAATGGATTCGGCATATATATATAATTTATTCATGACATTGCCATCAAGAAGTTTTCAATTAGTTTTAGATTTAAAATAAAAGAAAGCGTTCATTCGAGAAGAAGTGATAACAATGGTTAAAGCATTCTTCATGCTCCATTTGGTAACAATACTCTTCAATCCTTTGTAGCTGATACGGCATTTTGTTTTTTGAAAAATCGGGACAAAAGGCTCCAATTAAGAGGATTTCCGAGACTGAATGCGGTCTCGCCGGGTATTACAAAATTCCCCGACCAGCCAGAACAATCGCTTTTAATGCTACCGTCAAGACAATGTGAGTCCCTTCAATGGGCAGGTTAACCCTCCCGTCTCACTAACTCCAGATTATCCCTTGATTTGGTATCTATATTAGTACGTAGTAGGTACGGGCTAGTGAATCGATAATCTAATCAAAGATTCGATTCCTCTGAAAAAATCGCAATCTCAAGATTCACACGAACGAATCACGATTCACTTGAAATCGGTTGATTCACTCGGAATCGGCCAATTTCACAATTCTTGGGAATCGAAGAACTTGGAGTTAGATTTCGAGTCTATTCTGGATTGTACTCCTTTAGTTCTTCATTAATGCTCACCGGGTTTCTTAAAAAAATCTTGAAGTCGTGTTGAACTTTTTTGCGATCATTCGCACGTTTATAAACTTCAGACATTTAGAAACTTTTTTTTTTACTTTCAGTTATCTATATATGAAAAAAATATTTTTAAAATGTATTGCGATCGTAAAAATTTTCTAAGTTTCCAGAGTCCAAATAACAGAGTCCTGCAAAATGGTCTGTATGTCTGAGTGTGTGTTAATAGTCTACCTCAAAAACGTTAGGTCGTTCATAAGTGAAATTATATATTTAAGGTTTTTACATGTTTGGGATGTTACAGCATCTTTTTTGTCAAAATGGGCACTTTAGATAGATAGATAGAAAAATAATTTTATTCTGGGAATGACAGTCCCTTGAGAATAACAAAATAGAACAAAATTAAAAGATCACATCTGGCCAAAATAAAATCAATCGAAACAAAGAAA